GAGTGTTTAGGACTTCTTTTCTCGTTTCTTGTGATCGAATATCCGCATAAAATAATCCGGCTAACCTTCCTCGTGATACGACCCGGTGTCGAATCTTTGGATTCTACTCCGATAAAAATATTTACAACAACATACTCGTAAATGCGATGAAGTACTTGCAATATTGGAGGTATATTTATGATGAAGTACTTGCAATATTGGAGGTATGGACGAAAGTCATACATAGCATTACCAGACCTCATAGTTTATGTAGCAAGTAGGATATTAGATGGGCTTTTAATTCCTAATTTCCAGGGGTTTATAAATTCTCGAGTCAGCTCTGCATATTGCAATGAGGAACTTGATTTTTGTCATCTTCTTTTACCAAAAATAATTTGTAAGGGTGGAAAAAAGTAAAATTCTAAACTTGAAATACTTAGATGTAATTAATTACAAGCTAGACTTCCGAAAACATAATATTAAAAGTGTTTAGTATTACAGAATTTCAATTTTCAATTCCAATGTTATATGTAAGAGGCGAAAAAATATATTGAATTTCATGTACACTTCGTACATGCAAAATACCGATTATATCCTTAATTTGGGATAATCCATAAAAAAATGTATTTAATTTCAAGATTATGTATGCAGATAAAAAAATAATTAAAAATTTTGGATATTAAATTAAAAGCGTATTAGAATTGACAAGTCTAGTCATTTCACTCGTCGGCGTCGGCCACCACCGTCAGTCGTCGTTCGCTACCCGTCTACCAGTAATGAATTTTAGCAAATCATGTCTCATTTGTCATTTCAAAGTTCTCGACTCAATCTTTTCAATAGCATTTTTAATTTTATCATATGATACCTCAAAATTTTTTAAATTACTGTTCATGTTTCAAAAAATAAAAAAAAAAAATAATAAAAAAATTAAAGATTCGTGCATTGAATATAGCTGGAATGTCACATGCAATCCAACTATTAATTAGATTTTCATGAAACATATATGTATAGAAATATATTTTCATATATAAGGAATCCATTTATATCTCCCGATCGTCGATCCTCCGCCTTCTAATGGTCAGAAAAACACCGATGAAGTTACTAAATTTTCAACTACAGGTGATGGCTGCAGGGTGAAGAATTCAACCTTGATTTTTGGCAATTTAATTGTCTAAATTTGATGGTTGAACTCTCATTTTATTGCTTTTATCATGGGAATTAGATACTATTCATCAATTTGATGTTTTTTGAGGTCACAAAAACTTATATTAAATAAAATATAATATAGTTTATCGTCTTATTTTCTGAAAAGTTTTAAGTAAAGACATTTTAGTAATTAAATAAAATGTATTTTTTTTCTTTTTAATTATTTAATAATGTAAAATGAAGCTTGACAACATTTAAAAAAATTTATTGTGCTATATGTACGAGACATGTATACTAGAGACATATATATCGAACATTAGAATGACCCAACTAATTATTACCAAATACTTTGCTAATTCAGTTAGTTATGTATCAATTATCTATCCACCAAGTGGCAACCAAGATTATTATTTTTGAGAGTATGATATTTAAATTTAAAAATATGCATATATTGAAAAAAAAATACTGTGTAACTGTATGTAATTTATATTATATGCATAAATTTTAAATATTTCATTTTTTATTAAATTAAAAAACAATTTTTATGAACAAAAAAAAAATTATATTTTTTTCTTTTTCTTTTGATTTTTTCTTTTTCTTTTTAAAGCTTTTTTTTTCTTTTGATTTTGTAAACCGGAAACAATTAAAGGACGTGCAACGAATGTAAAGTCAGTGGACGAATAGTGCAATTTTTTCGATCTGACTGGGCACCAACTTGTGCCACATCACGTCGAAAATAGAAATTCCGATCTGACTGAGCGCTACATCAGCTATTCCGACAAAACAGAATGTCATTTTGGACTAAAATTACCAAAAAAAAGGTTAGTGTTCCATTTATAAACCGGAAACAATTAAAGGACGAAAGTGCAACGAGGATATAGTTAATTGACGAGTAGTGCAATTTTTTCTTTAGTGCAATTTTTTCTTTTTTTTTTGGTACAGGGACCTTCCGATTCCGGTTTAGTGCAATTTTTCCTTTCATATCATATATAATACGTAGTATAGTTTTGTAAAAAGGGCCAAAGAGGCAAATATTGAATTAACGGCTGCTTTAGCCTTTAGGCCAAATTAAGCAAAAATTAATTTATAAGAACTACTATTAAATGATGACAATATTTTCAATAGTTTTCTTTATATGAGCCTGATTATTATTAAATGGTTTGAATGATCATATATTTATAACAAAAATACATATTTATAATAGTATAAAATATCATTCTTTTATTTATATTATCCTTATGATATTATAATTTCAAACCAGACACATCTATTTAAAAATATTATGAAATGCAATATTAGCCCATTAACATTGTTGTTTCCAGTTTCTGTCTAACAGATGTGTGGAAAATTAAATAAATACAATAGGAATTGATGCATTAATCTCTATTATATATTATATTTTTGTGAAATGCTAAGGTCTCGTTATGGAACTATTTTGTGTTGATTTGTAACCGTCAGATCATCATGTAACCGTCATAGATAATTAATTTAACGGTTACAAATCCCGACAAAATGGTCACAGAGAAGTAAGCTTGTAAGTTATATATCACGCATTCGTATTAAATGCTGGCCCAATCTGCCAATTGCAAAGGTCCCATAACTCATACACTTGCATAATTTCACGTGGGTCGTCGCCTTTTAATTCATACATCTTTTCGGTTATACTCAGCTTTCATGAGATTTATGTGTTTAGTTGGGAGGTAAAAGTACTCATAATATGGAACAGTGTAAGATATTAACTAACGCTTTTAATAGACTCTGCCAAGAATCCCCTTCACAATAATCTCACTTTTAGGTTAAATCAATTTTAATTATTTTATTTTAAATATTATATTACTACAAACTTGAAATTTTACTCAAATCATAATATGGAGATATGCTACGGTCCCATTACGGAACCATCCCAGCGGAGTTTCTATCCGTAGATCAACTATCACGACGGTTACATGATGATCTAACGTTTACAAATCCCGACGAAATGGTTCTGTAATGGGACCGTAACATTTTCCCTTAATCATTTTTTTCAAAATTTTACTCAGAGTTAACCAACAAATCCAATGTGAGCTCCACCATTTGCTATAGTTGACCTTTTGCCATATACAAGTTCATGCCAACTCTGGCTCAAAATTTAACTGTAGTTACTGCAGTTGACCTTTAAACCTTATAAATAGATCAAAAAGAGACACACACTGACACACATATTAAGCTAATATATTAAGTACAGTTACTGAGTTGACATGATGAGGATACACATACACCCAATATTTCTATCCTTCGCACTGGTCACTTTGACCACTATCCTCCCACCACCAGCAGCCACCTCGTTCTCTTGTCCTCCCCCGAGACCACCACCGCAGCCGCCGAACCTCACTCCCGAAGCCTTCCACCGCTGCCTCAACCGCCGGCCGGAATCCTCCGCCGGAATCTCCTTCTCCACCATCTACGCCCCTACCATCAACCGCACTTCCTTCTCCTCCCTCCTCAACTCCACCGCCCAGAACCTCCGCTGCCTTTCCCCTTCCATCCCCAAACCCTTCCTCATCTTCACCCCACTCCACGAGTCCCACGTGTCCCCCGCCGTCACCTGCGCACGTGACCTCCGCCTCGACCTCCGTGTTCGCAGCGGCGGCCACGACTACGAATGCCTCTCCTACATCTCCCTCCTAAGCCACCGCCCCCCGTTCGTCCTCCTCGACCTCCAGCACCTCCGCCATGTCAGCGTCGACGTGGCCACACGGACCGCGTGGGTCCAATCCGGCGCCACCGTAGGCGAACTCTACTACCACGTGGCGGAAGCTAGCCGCGGAACCCTCGCCTTCCCGGCTGGCCTCTACGGTAGCGTCGGGATCGGCGGCCACATCACGGGTGGCGCCTACGGGGCCTTGATGCGGG